CGGGTCGACTCAATCATAACTTTTGAATCGTAACGAATATCGATTTGCCCTTTTAGCACAACATTCTAGACAGTTATAGCTATCGAAATCCGCAAAAAATTTCGATTTTTTTGACCCAACAAACGAGATGCACCCTTAAGACACAAATTTTCGAGTGCAGGTATGGAGCCAGACAGTGAAAGAGTAAAAGCTGTGATAAATCTTAAAAGTCCACAAAATAAAAAGGAGATGCAAAGAATATTGGGAATGTTTAATTATTTTCGTAATTTTATACCTAATTTGTCGGAGCTGTCAGAGCCGTTAAGGTGTCTACTGAAAAAAGATGTAGAGTTTTCCTGGTCATCAGTAAGTGAGAGGGCATTTGTTAATTTGAAAGAAACACTTATGAAAGCCCCGGTATTAACAAACTTTAACATTAATAAGGAAATTACGATACAAACAGATGCATCCAGCAAAGGACTGGGAGCATGTCTATTGCAATGTGGAAAGCCAATATTCTTTGCATCGAGAAGTTTAACTGAATCGGAAAAACAGTATGCTCAAATCGAAAAAGAAATGTTGGCAATTGCGTTTGCGGTACATAAATTTAAGAATTATATTTATGGAAAAAAAACGACAGTATGGACTGATCACAAACCTTTACTGGCGATAATGAGAAAGAAAATATCTGACATTGTTTCCCCTAGGTTACAGCGACTTAAACTGAAATTACTGAGATTTGATTTGGAAACAAAGTTTTGTCCAGGAAAGTATTTATATGTTGCTGATTTGCTGTCAAGAGATTATTGTAAGGACCCAGTGGAGGAAGATCAGAGTATGTTAGAGGTTGTACATTATTCAGGCTATTATTAACATTACGCAGGAAAAGAAAATTAAATTTCAGATTGAAACGGAAAAAGATGAAATACTTAAGAAAATAAAAAATTACTGTTTATTGGGGTGGCCAAAAAATGATGGTAAAAATAACAAAAAATTAATGGCATTCAAAAATGTAAAGGATGAGATTACTATTATTGAGGATATTTTATTATATAACAATAGGCTAATTGTTCCGGATAGTTTAAAAATTGAGATGATGAAACTTGCACATGAAGGTCATTTCGGGATAAATAAGACATTAAAAAGGATGCAAGAAACATTTTATTGGCCAGATTTAACTAAAGATGTCACTGAATTTGTTAAAAAATGCAGGTTGTGAGAAAAATTTCTACCAGCCAAATCGCAAGAAACCATGTTAAAACATGAGATCCCGAAAAGACCTTTTATGAAAGTTGCGGCGGATATAGCACAGTATGGCGCAGATAATTATCTAATCATTTTTGACTATTACTCTAAATGGTTAGAGATAATAAAATTAAAAGATAAAACAGCACAAGGAGTAATGATGGCGTTTAAAAATTGTTTTGCGACACATGGAATTCCGGAATATCTAATAGCGGATAACATGCCTTTTGGATCCTATAGGTTTAAAAAATTTGCGGGTGACATTGGAATGCAGGTCATAACGTTCAGTCCACATTATCCAAAAAGCAATGGACAAGCAGAAAGTGGCGTGAAAATAGCGAAGTCTTTCTTGAAAAAACAGCTTGATTTAGATGTAGCACTATTAAATTATAGGAACACGGAGATAACAAACATAGGTTACTCACCATCACAATTATTAATGAATCGCAAATTAAGAACTTTAATTCCAACAGCGCAAAAATTGTTACATAACAATAATGTCAATAGAAAACAAGTACATTCTAAGTTAGTTGATAAGCAAAATAGATTTAAGGCGGATTATGATAGGAAAGTAAAAAAGTATCCTCAGTTCAAAGTAAATCAAAAGGTAACGTTTAAAAAAGGAAGTACATGGGTACCGGCTGAAATAATTGAAAAATGTAAGGAACCTAGGTCATATTTACTTAAAGACAACAATGGTCAGGTGTTAAGGAGGAACACTAGTCAGATTAGACAATCTAGTATTAGGCAGGAAGAAAAACCTGCACACACATATATGTCTGATGATGAAATAATAGAGGATGAATCACTGAATTATGAAGGAATGCAAAAAGGGGAAGTTTCAAATCAATTAAACGATGTTGAGGAGGCAGGCGAGAATGAGATTGGAAGCGACCTTACTGTAACTGATAGGAGTGATAGTAGTCTGAGAAATGAGGACATCAATGTAAGACCGAAAAGGAGCACTAGGCCAAATAGTCGATTAAAAGATTTTGTAACGTCCTTTAAATAAGAGTAGGTGGGACAGAAGTGACTGAAAAAGGAAGGTGTTGTAAGATAGTCCTAGATGGCGTGAGTGAAGCACTGGCGGTTGATCAGATAGAAGCTTACAAGCATGTGATGCGCATAATCTTAAGTAGACATTGTATCTTAAAATATATACAGTTAATCACCACTGTTGTTATCAATTATTTTAAATGCCTAAATATACAACACTGTAAATATAAAAAATCATGCAAATTTATAGAAACTATGTAATTCCACAAAAATTATGTAAATTTGTTTTTATTGGGTAAATATATCTTATTTTATATTGAAAATTATGTAAATAGCAGGATATTTTGAATATTTTCTGTAATTATCCAAATTTTAGTAATATTACGTAATATAATAAAAATTTTGCGCGTATTGCTGTATAAATGTATAATGATATATAGTGCAAAATGTATTATCATATTATCGTTCTTGTAACTATACACATATACATTGTAATTGTATTTCCACAATCTGCTTAGGTTACAAACCAAAAAATTATTTTTATTTGCATACTGCAAATTTACAAACGTGTGGATGTTTACAACTATTACAATAGGTCTCAAAATTATCCACTATAATAGTTGTAATTTTACACAAAAATTTTTTACAGTGCATAGCGCTTGAGACTAAAAAAGCCCCTAAGGCCCTTTCCGCTGTAATTGACGGTCGTTGATTTAAAAAAAATAACGGAAAAATAACGAAAAGTTACTTTCTCAAATAACTATAACGAGTTACTTTTAAAAATCGGTAACTAGTAGGGGAAAGTGAGCAAATTGTGCGCACCTAAGGGATATTTGTTTTTCTGGGATGGTTTTCTAAGTTCAAAGCGATATAAATAGGAAAATAGAAACTATAAACATTCTCCTACCATTACGTATTCTTATATTGAACAGATTTTCATTTAATAAGGTTGTATTTGGCAAAAAAGAAAAAACGGAAAAGAGAAAAAATTTGTCACGCGTCGGGTAATTGTGCGCATGGGTTAGGGAATTGTGCGCAAAGCAAAAGTTGTAGGAAGTGAATGAATTATGTAATGTTGACAAAGAAAAAATCATAAAATATATTTATAACATTGTAATATAAATATATATTACATATATTATATATATTTAGCAAAAATATAAAACTAACCTCTCTGAGTCTCGTAAAATCAATCCAAAGCGGGGTTATGAACCTATGTTGACATGTGATAACTTTTTACAAAAGTAAACAAGTAGTGACGTCATAATCTGAGTATAAAATACTCAGCTCACTTCAAATTCAGTTTCACTTGTGTATACTGGAAAATAGCTATATAGTCTATTGAAGATGGGTAATTGTGCGCATTTCAAACCGCCTGCGCACAGTTATCCGCCACGATCTGACTCTATATGAAATACGATTACTTCAATACTAGTTAACCAAACTTAATAAATAACGGGTCGAAAGGCGCGATCATAATAACGTACTTTAATAACGTATGCAACTTTAAACCAACAAATTAAAAATACAGACTTACCACCTTATTTTCTGAACGCTGAAATAACAAGAAAATGTATTTTTTCACTTTTTTATCTTTCACTGTTTATCAATGTACTTACGTCATATCTTTTGTGGTTATAATTTAAGAGGACGACCTCCTGCGTAAAAATTTCATCACGGCGATGTCTCCATCTATCGGCAAAGTACCAAACCAGGATGCGCACAATTACCCGCTGCGCACAATTCGCCCACTTTCCCCTAACGGTAACTTGTTATACTTTTTCTACTCGGTAACGAGTAACTATAACTTGTTACTTTTAAAAAATAACTTTCCATTCCCTGGTTTCTTGTCATCTTTCCAAAATCGTTGGGAAGGCTTTCAACGACACATTTCCTACATATTGTCACGCTCGCCGACCGGCTGTTAACTCTCTGTATTTTTTCCTCGCGTCTTGTCTTAACGATCATCTTGTTAAGTGTTCATGAAACGAGGAAATCGTAAAGTCCTTCCTGACGTAACACCACTAAAAACCATTTTTTACTTCTTGCTTTTTATTAGCACATTAGTTGGTACGAAATATTT